ATGTTTATTTTTTGGGTTTAATACTTTTTATCTATTTCAATCAGGTTTTTTTCTTTATCTTCATAACTGGAGAATACAAACATTGATCTGTTGCCAAACTGTTTAATGAGACAGAATATAAGATGATGTTCAGTAGGTGTGACACAGGTGAGGTATGTACGTAGGCAGCATACTCATGGGGATTGCAGAGACAGAATCTATTCATGCTGTCCTGGCAGCAGAGCACTGCGGTAATCCAGTGTTGTAATGACAGTTTAGACATTTACTACACTGATGAATTCTGAGATTGGATTTAAACCTCTTTAATTTCCCTGCAATGTATTTATCTTTTAACAGTACATTCTTAATCATGACTCCCTACCAGATCTTTAATCTTGCGGGCATAAGACAGAAGATTAGATACTGCTGAGTTGTTTCTAGCACACAGCTGCTTCTTAAGTCCCTTTCCTTTTAATTCTATTCAATGGGGGGGGGGTTCTAAATTTCAAAATTAATATTATAAGTTGCTCAGAGTTGCTGGAGGCAAACAAGCGAGAGCAGATGTACAACACCCTACTGTTCAGTGGACATGCAGAATAAATGCAGGAATAAAACAGAGGTCTATATGGGATGTAACATGCTGAATCAGGGGCGGACTGACCATTTGGAAACTTGGCACTGCCCGAGGGCCCGGGGTCAGTAAGGGGCCCCATGAGATGCCCCTGGTACCTTTTTCATAGGCTTTTTTGAGTTTCGGCAAGGACACAGGGGCCCCATGATCCCCTATTGCCAGGGGGGCCCATGAGTTGTCAGTCCAGCCCTGATCGCAAGGGTGTTCATACCCATGTGATCTGATTTCTGGAATTCGCACAGGGTTTCGCGATCTATTTCGGGGTGTCATTCATTTAACATTAGCACCCACAGCAGCTTGCACAGACACAGTGCGATTGCAATGCGGTGCAAGAAACGCACAGGATTCACTGCATTTTCCGCATCGCATCAGCGTGAACCAGGTCTAAAAGAGCGCCATGATCACAGCATACACTTTCATTTAAACACTTCAAGTTCGGACACTTTCACCCCCTTCCTGTCCAGGCCAATTTTCAGCTTTCAGCGCTATCACACTTTGAATGACAATTGCGCGGTCATGCAACACTGTACCAATATGAATTTGTTTGGGCAAGGACACAGGGGCTCCATGATCTCCTATTGCTCGGGGGGCCCCATGAGTTGTCAGTCCGCCCCTGTGCTGAATACATTGTTTTAATAATTCCCTTAGGCTCCATGTACACTGCAGCTGATAAACTCAGGTTTAGGATCTGTTCAGCATTTTTTTCAGCAGCCCCTGAACTCTCCCTAATGTTTTCCTATGTGTCCATGTACACATCGCCGTTTACAGACAGTTGAATTTACAGTCGTTTTTTTAGCGCAAAAAACTTGGGTTCAGGAGTAGATTTTATCAGCATTTCAAACGCCAAATGCTTGTAAACGTGTGTAAACGCGGCTAAATGCGGCTAACCGTGTTTATAAGGATTTGCGGTTGAAATTTTTTTTTAACTCTTCCATTTCCAGAACCTCTTTTCATCATGAAAAATACATGCAAAGCGTTTTTCTCGGTACTCAAATGGACCTGATACACCATACTTTGAGGTTTCGCATGAAAGAAAATATGTTAGACACTGCTGTAATCATTTCTGTACAGAAATGAGCTGGAACACATCCAAACACCACAAAAAAAAAGACAGCTAATCTCAACAAATACTGCTCTCTCTGCTTCTGCTCTCTCTATTTCTCTCAAAATGTCTGAAATAGTAAACTTTTTACTGTTTTTCAGTGCATTCTGGGCATTTTGGAAGGTCTCCTGAGGTTATCTTTAAAAATGCTTCTAAACGCAAACGCTCATAAACACGCATAAATGCGGTATGCAAATGCGGCTAAACAGACGTTTTTTAACCTACGTTTTCCAGCAGTTATGTTCCATCGTTCAGAAGTGTCCCGTGTGCATGGAGCCTAACAAACCTTTTCTAATCCTGGCTTTTCTGTACAGTATCTACTGCAGTTTGCTGAAGTGTGCAGAAAGAGACATACTAAAAAAAAAAAAAAAAAAAAAAAAAAAAACCAGAACAGAATGAACATGCTGCATGAAATCTGATCTTGGAGCAATGTCACTGCAGATCAAACTATGAGGCAGGGGCGGACTGACAAATCATGGGGCCCCCGGGCAATAGGGGATCATGGGGCCCCTGTGTCCTTGCCAAAACTCAAAAAAGCCTATGAAAAAGGTACCAGGGGCATCTCATGGGGCCCCCTACTGACCCCAGGCCCTCGGGCAGTGCCTTTACAAATGGTCAGTCTGCCCCTGCTTGCGATGCAATTCTGGTGCGGATGCCATTTGAGCCATACAAAATGTATGGCTCAATGGCTCAAATCGCACTGCACAGACATCACATGTGAATGTGGTCCGATTCCTGTGTGAATCACATGTGGTATCCTGCACCACACAAATGTGAACCTAGACTTAGTGTGGTAGTAAACTCTCCCCCATAACTTTTGCACATGTCAATCATTAGTAAAAACAGCTCAAACGGCTGTATGTACGTCATCTTACTCGCTCCATTTGCTTGTAATCTGTCCCGTCTTTTGTGCTGACTTCACCAGCGCAAGCACATCTTTAGCCCGGGTTCACACTGATGCAGTGCAGCACATCACGTGATTTGCACAGGAATGCGGTGCAGTTCCTGCACTAGTTTGCTGCGCCGTGCAGTGCAATTTGAGCCATAATTTTTTTATGGCTCAAATCGCACTGCATCTGACCCTTGGATCGCATGGGGTGTTCACACCCATATAATCCGATTTTGCACATCGCACTGCGTTTTGCAAACTGATTTTGGCGTGTTGTTAACTGAAAATACAAGTGTACAATCCAAACGCACACTTTCCTGCATTAAAAATGGCTGTGTGTATAAGTGGGTGCTGCAGCGACCGTCGGCTGGAACCAAACAGAATCAGCAAGGGAGAATGTCACCAGCACACCGAGGATCACCAATATGGGGCCAAAAGTTTTAATGAACGGTTACAGCAAGGCATTGTTTCAGAGTCTCGCAGGACCCCTTGCCCTGGTCACATGCCTGATGAAGGGGTCCTGTGAGACTCCGAAACGTTGCCTTGCTGTAATTATGTGATCTATCATTAAAACTTTTGGACCCATATTAGTGATCCTCGGTGTGCTGGTGACATTTTTCCTTGTTAATTAAAAATACACACCCACAGCGCTTCGCATGAACGGGGTGCGATTATGATGCAGTGTGGAAATCACACAGAAAACGGTGCAAATTCCGCACTGCATCAGTGTGAACCCAGACCCAATTCACAGCACAGACAGTCTTTGTGCCATCAGTCAGATGTATGCTGTGACTGTCAAATCCACTCTGCGGGATTGCGCCGAGATCCCGCGAGATTACAGTCTCATTGAGAAATTCCTGGTGTACCCAGTGTGACCTTTAATGTCATAGGGGGTGTAAACATTGGCTCAGCATGGCACACTGCAGGGGAGATGAGCCGCATCATATGATAGGCAGGACACAGTTGCCATAGTGATCCCAGAGCTAGAACGAGGATTGGCTAAGAAACCAACGCACATGTGCGAGATTACAGAAAGGACGGAAGTAAATTGCAAGACGAACTCAGAAGACAATACTTAAAATAGCGCAGACTTTTACCTGGAAGCAAGATTTTTAAAACAGCTGAGAAAAATGTAAGAAATATAACAATGGGGGTTAATTATAATGCTGAATGTGTTGTAATTAGGGATGCACCAAAATTTCGGCCACCGAAACATATCAGCCGAAAATAGCCCTATCTGTATTTTGACCATAGGAAAAATGTAGCCGATACAGGTGCCGATGCAGGGGACTGTGTGTACTGTACAGATGTGAGGGGGGTGGCGGAGAAAGGCAGGAGCGGAGCAGTGTACACAGTGACTGGCCATCACTCTATGTCAGTGCCGGTTTCTAAATGTAATTACCAGATTTTTTTATGCTTCACTATAGCTCAGAGAATCAGCTGTCACTCTCTGCGAGCTAAAAGAAACAAAGTTTCTTTTTAGTTTTCTCTAAACTAAATTCAGTTCCTCTAATCTTTCCTCATAGCTGAGCTCCTCCATGCCTCTTATCAGTTTGGTTGCCCTTCTCTGTACTTCCTCCAGTTCCCCAATGTTCTTTTTGTGAATTGGTTCCCAAAACTTAACTGCATATTCCAGATGAGGTCTTACTAATGATTTGTACCGGGGTAATATGATATCTCTCTCTCTGGAGTCTATACCTCTTTTAATACAAGAGAGGATTTTACTCGCTTTAGAAACCGCAGCTTGGCATTGCATGCCATTATTAAGCTTGTGATCTAGCAGAACCCCCAGATCCTTCTCCACCATTGATTCCCCCAGTTGTACCCCCCCAGTATGTATGATGCATGCATATTCTTAGCCCCCAAGGGCATAACCTTACATTTATCAACATTAAACCTCATCTGGCACATAGTTGCCCAATTAAACAGTGCATTGAGGTCGGCTTGTAAATTGGAGACATCCTGTCACAGCTCCATCCATGACACAGCTTGGTGTCATCTGCAAAGACTGAAATGGGATTTATAATCTCAGACCCTATATCGTTTATAATTGTATTAAAAAGTAAGGGTCCCAACACTGAACTTTGGGGTACACCACTGATGACCCCAGACCATTCAGAGTATGAATCATTAACCACTACTCTTTGAATACGATCCATTAGCCAGTTTTCTATCCATTAACATATGTATTTTTACAAGCCGTGTGGGGAACTGTGTCAGACACTTTTGCAAAATCCAAGTACGCCACGTCCACTGCCGCCCCTCTGTCCAAGTATACCACATCTACCACCATCCCTCTGTCCAAGTATACCACATCCACCGCCACCCCTCTGTCCAAGTATACCACATCCACTGCCGCCCCTCTGTCCAAGTATACCACGTCCACCGCCGCCCCTCTGTCCAAGTATACCACGTCCACCGCCGCCCCTCTGTCCAAGTATACCACGTCCACCGCCACTCCTCTGTCCAAGTATACCATGTCCACTGCCACCCCTCTGTCCAAGTATACCACGTCCACCGCCACCCCTCTGTCCAAGTATACCACGTCCACCGCCACCCCTCTGTCCAAGTATACCATGTCCACCGCCACCCCTCTGTCCAAGGTTTTGCTCACCTCCTCATAAAAAGAAATCAGATTTGTTTGACAACTTCTGTCTTTCATGAATCCATGCTGTCTGTTGCGATACATACTAGCACATTATGATATTACTTTGCAGGGGGATATTGTTTTTTTTTTAAAAAGACTTTACTACTGCTTTAAGTTTTGAATAAATAATAAAAACTGGGCTGGAAATCGATAGAAAGTATGGGGCAGTGCAAATTCCACCAAAATCTGGATAGTTTGGTGATCTAGAAAAGAATGAGATAGTAAATGGGAGCAGCCAATTTTTTGTAATAATGTATCTGACTGATTAAAGATGGAAAGCAACCAAAATGCTAAATCCTTTAGTAGAAGAGAGCCCATATATATCATGTCATAAAACACCATCATTTTCTGCAACAATTACATGTAGTCATCACCCCCCAAAGGAACCCATTGTTTGGGTCCTAAGGTTCTTTCCCAGTAGATATACCGGCAGCCAGACACACAGCCACTCAGTAATCAGTCTAGGGGTATGCTTTTTTGATGCTTTATTGCAGAACTTGAACTTGGACGGGTACAGGGTAACTGTGGAATACTCCAGTAACATTAAGAAGTAACTTGAGGACAATAATCTAACTCCAAAAAAATCTGAGTACAGTCCTTGCAGCAGCAAATATTGGACTGGCCTATACTAGGAGTCAGAGGAATAACTAGAACCTTCAGGACCCTGGTCCAAAAAACCATTAAGGGCCCCCCTGACTCCCGGCCAGGGCGCTTCCCACCAATCCTGGGGCCCTTTACTACCATTGTAGGGCCCTTTATTATGCTCCTGCAGTGGGATCCTTCCCACATGTGTCTTGGGGCCCCCACATGGTGGTGGAACGCCAGGGCCCGGTTGCAAGTGTGACCTTTGCAACCCTGGTAATTCCACCACTGGTGTCAGTAGTTTTTATTTTTGTTATTTTATCTAGGGGGCAGCAGGACCTAGATATAGGAGGGGTGGTTGGGGCAGAATAGAGAGGAACTGATGCCCTCCTTTTTTTCTCCTGCAGTCGCTGAATGCCTGCAGAAGGGAGAGGAGGAGAAGCATGCTTTGTAGGAGGAAAAAATAGGGCATCAGTTCCTCTATATGCCACCCCACCACCTCTCCTATCTAAGTGTTCAGGGGAGCCGCATTGCCCCCCCGGAGCATGGGGCCAGGTCGCAATTGTGACCCCTGCAGTTACACCCCTGGTTACATATAATACTCGATTGACATATAGAGTATTATGGGATAATATACCCCCAGGGTCAGTCATAGATTGTGGAGGTCATAATACAGTATATATTTATATATAGTACACTGTTGCCCCCCCCCCCTGGAGGTCAGTCATAGTAGGTGATCAGGTGTAAATAATACTTTGTTGCCCCTCATGGGCTACTCTGCCCCTCTCCCCCTCTTCTGGCTTGTAGCTCAGCCCCTTCTCTGGATCCCCTTCCCCCCATGATAGGTCATTTTTTTTTTTCCCTCTCCTATTGATCGTTGTATGGCTCAGGAACAGTAAAGTAGGGTGGATTCAGTGACAGGGGAGTGGGGTTACTAGTCTTTCCCCCTCCCACTGACCAGTGCAAGGATCAGGGGCAGGAGAGCAGAATGGGCCCAGTAACAGGGGGGCAGGGCTACTGTTAACATAGTGGGCAGCCACTGTCAGGTCTCGCTTTCCGCCCCCCACTCCCCTTCCTCCGGGGCTCCCTCGCACTTTGCTTTATGGAGTTTGGGCTGTGGATGAATGCAGAGTGGAGAGGCGTTGCGCACACACACCTGGCAGCAGAACCTGCATAGGAGAGGCGGCATTTAGAAGAACAGATGCCCTCCATTTCCTCCTGCAGCTGCTGAATGCCTGCGGGAGTGTGAGGAGGAGAAAGCAGGCTTTCAGCGGCTGCAGGGGGAAATGGAGGGCATCGGTTCCTCTATATGCCGCCTCTCCTTTGCAGGTGTACAAGGGAGCCACATGGGCCCCCTGGAGCAAGGGGCCAGGTCGCAACTCGACACCTGCAATCCCTGTAGGTATGCCCCTGGTAGGACACATGAAACAATGTCCCCTTTAAGCGAAGCTGACTATTGCATGAGGGATAGTAGCAGCACTAGTAGTAGTCACTGGGATCTCTCACACCGGTCTGTACTCGCTATTGTCCTTGGATAATTAGATGCCTCATTCCCATTTCTTCTAGACACCTCTCTTGTGAATTCCTCAGGCCAGATCCCCAAAACCAAGGGCCTCAGCCAGCTCCAGCAAATTTCAGCAGAACAGGCCCCCGAGCTAGCAACACTAGGACCTCAATGAGCAGCAGAACCATAGCAGAAGATCTCCAGACTGTGATCTCCTCCTCTAGGACAAGAACCCTTCTGTTCTAAGCCCCATGCTTTTCATGCTCCCTCCCAGCTAACATCTAAGCACCGCTCCCCAGGGATTGGCCAGGGCTGCATAAATATTCAGCTGCTGATTTAACTCTCCCAGCTCAGTTTCTTCCAGAACCCTCTATCCATACACCTAGAGCAGTTTTTTTACATTTTGGCCAGTACAGGAAACTGGACACAGGTGCAATGGGCACCTTGATGTCAGAAGCAACAAAATCTGAGAGGCAAAAAAAAAATCTCTAACAATAAACCCAGCTCTGGGGAAAACGAAGAGTCTTTCTTTGTAGTGGGGCTGCACCCACACTGGAATGGTTAACTTCTTGTTTCTGTCTAGGGGGATGGTAAGGGCACTTATACAGGGTGCAGCAACATAACTTCCTTTTTTGAAATGCGTGCCATTCAGGCTGTAGCGGCCATAGCGGGGCAGGAGTGGTCTCAGGCAACAGGCGTAGTTCTAAAGTTTTTGTTCTCTTCCAGGTCAGTCATCATCATGTGTTGAAACAGTGAGCAGCGTGCGTTTGCCGTAGATCACCTGAGAACATCGAAGCAGTGAGAGCTTCAATCTTGCGATCCCCGCAGCATTCTGCGCGCAAACATGCGTCTGCCCTTGGACTTTCGGATCGTTCAGTGAGGCGAATTCTTCACGATGACCTTCATTACCATCCGTACAAGTTGGCGATTGTGCAGGAACTCTCCGAACGCGACTTCAATTCTTGGAGGAATGCATGTGAGGCAGTACTCGAAAACGTCCCTGAGGACGCAATTGTTTTTTACAGTGATGAAGCCCATTTTCACTTGACTGGATGCGTCAACAAACAGAACATGCTCTGTTGGGCCGACACCAATCCTCGAGAATTGCATCAAAGGCCTTTGCATTCATCTAAAGTCACAGTGTGGTGTGCAATTGCCTCAGCTGGGATTATTGGTCCCTGGTTCTTTGAAGAAAATGAGGTCACAGTGACAGTGAATTCAGACCGGTATGTGAACATGTTGGAGGAATTTGTTTTTTCACGACTTGATGAATTGGACTTAGGGGACATTTGGTTCCAACAGGACAGAGCAACGGCTCACACTTCAAATGCATCAATGGCTGTTTTAAGGGAACACTTCCCGGAGCACCTCATCTCAATAAGGGGCGATTTGGAGTGGCCAGCCCGCTCCCCCAATTTGGCCCCTTGCGACTTTTTTTTGTGGGGTTTTTTGAAATCCCCCGTTTATGTAAACCGTCCAAGGACCCTAAAAGACCTGAAGGCCAACATCCGCGCAGAAATTGCCAACATACTTGCTGCTATGCTGGTAAGGGTCATGAAAAACGCCAGAAATCGGCTTATTCAGTGTATGGACAATGGGGGGCGTCACCTACCTGATATGATTTTCAAAACTGTGTAAAACAGAACTTTAGATATGTACCTACATTATTAAAGACAATAAAAACAATTCTGATTCATAAAATGGGTTTTACTGCGTTTTGCAAAAAGGACGTTATGTTGCCGCACCCTGTACCTACCTGAGTCTCCATTCTCCAGGAGATGCGCTCCCTGACACTACACAGTGGACTGTCCTTTGGTGTTCTCACGTACAAAGCATGACTATGGGCCTTGCTTCAGTCTTGATGACATCAGAGGATTTTAGACCACACAAATTGAGGGTAGAAGAGGCTGTGGGGACTGGTCTAGCAGTATGGAGGAACCTGCTGTACCTAGTCCCCCTAGACATAAACAAATATTTAACCCTTGCAGTTTGGGGTTATAGTGTAAAGTATTGGTGTGAATGCCTTTATCATTACTAGAACCTATAGAACAAAGGGGCTCTTGCAGCATCCAACTCCATCACCCATCTTTCTTCTCCCCTCACCAATTACATGAAAAAAGAACGTTTATCCAAGCTAAGCACTCCTGTTTATTTACAAGACTTTGACAGGTCGCATGACTGGGCTCTCTTTTTTTTTTTAATACATTAATTTGAATAGTGCTCCATTTGCTTTAATGCCCTGTACAATGTGCACAATGTTGTTTATAAATGTGCAGCGTGCTGTTATTTTATAAGCAAAAATAAAATCTTCCTATTTTTTTCTCTTCTCTCATTTATTGTCTAAAGCCCCCACAATTTTCTGTTTGCATTACATATCTTATTTTAGACCCAGTGATGTTATCATTGGGTCTATGTGCTTGTCTATGCTGTCTATGCAATGCAGGCAAATCATGGCTAATAACCTGTACATAGGTCCCTGAAAACAGCAGACTGCCCTAGATAATGAACACCCGTGATGCTGAGCCTCCATGATTAAAGTGGTTCTCCAGCTTCCTGTAAAAAAAAATTAAACGTTAGCAGCTACAAAAACTGTACCTGCTGCTTTTTAAAAAAAACAGCCACTCACCTGTCCCATGATCCAGCAGTGTCCTCACTCCAGCCGTTTTTTCCAGTGGTGTCCTGTCCCAGGAGCAGGCATCTTAACTGTGGGCACCCAGCTGTGACAGTTTGCGGCTTCACAGCCGGGTGCCCACTGTGCATGTGCGAGCAGCGCTGTGTATTGTGAATGATCTGGCAGTCTTCTGAGACCTGGGGGAAGAGGGGGGAGGAGGACTTCTGCTTCTGATTGCTTAGGCAGTCGGATCAGATGTGGGAGCAGGTACCCTTCAAGATCGGATAACAGCTCCCCCTGCTCCCTAAAAGCTCCCATTTCCTTACCAAGAGCTGGGGAGAAGGCCTTAAAGCGGAACTTCCCCTTTTGG